TTTGCAGCTGTCAGCAGCCAACAGCATTTGTGCTGTCTCTTAGGACATCATCTCCCTGGCAACCAAGTCCCAGTGAAAGTCAATAGTAGCATCTTCATCGTTTCTAAAATGGAGCTTGGAGGCTTTGAAGCTGTTGTCCCCAGCTCAAGAACTTGCTAAAAGCTTTTCCCTGAACTTTCACTTAGCTGCCCTCCCAGCACACTCAACCACAGAGGAGCCAGTGCAGGCAGCCTGCTGGGACATAAAGCCTCTGGATTATTTCATCCTGCCTTGACCACCACACATCAGGACAGCTACCTTGCCTCTCTATTGATAGATAATCTATTCTAAAGTCAGCCATTTGCTTTGCAAACTGTTGAATTTAGATACCACTGTCTCTTGGCTGAATGTTACCAGCCCAAAGCTCTGCTGGAAGAAAGAACTGGGAGTGCTCCTTGATCTCCTGGGCTCCCCAGCTGCGTGGAAGCAGCCTCAAGTTGCATGGGACAACTCATTTGAGCCAAGCAGGGGGAATTCAACTCCTTCTCCCAGGGTAGTAGTTCCTTCTCCAGGGCACACTAACACAGGAACAAAGACCCTTGCCACTAAACCATGCCCACACTCTCCCCATCAGTGCTGGCCAGTGTACAAACATAAGCTTGCAGCAAAGAGAACAAAGCCATGAAGATGCCTGATCGTGTCAGAGGTGCTGGAGTCTGAGCAGTAAAAGCAGGAGCAGCCAAGAGACAAGGAGCAGAGCTTGACCCTAGCAGTACAAGATTTTTCTTCAAAGCATGCTGACACTTTACAACAGGTCATTTGTGACAAGCACACTCATGTTCTCCTGGGAGCAGTGCTGAAACTCTACACAGCAGAACTCAGTCCCTTAAAAGTCAGCAATGCCACTACCCCGAGGAGGTCAGCAGCCAAATCCATGCAGCAGGGACATTCCTACAAGAGATCTCGAGGCATTCAGAGGTGGCATTAGGAAGCAATTACCCTGGGGAGGAACTGGGACAGTATACAGGCATCTCAGATGACTGAAATCAGCAGTGCAGCTCAGTCTGACTGGAAGGAGGCAGAGCAGCCACTTGTAAGCCAAGAGCGTTTTACTTTACTTGTGTGCCAGACAAAGCTGAAAAACACACAAAGCCCAACTGCAACAGGAGTAGAGCAGTGCTGAAAGAGAAAATCTCTGCTGATGTATCCATCCCTGCCCTTGGGATAACACAGGCACACTTAAGAGACCTCAGAAATTACCTCAAGCATATAAATGTCTGGTGAGATAATGCACATCAGTAAGTGCCCAGTCCCCAGCAGAAAAGCAAGTGGTAGGAGAGGGGGTGGGGGATCCTCATCATCTGGCTTTTAATGACTGCTTGCCATCACCCAGGTCTGCAAACCAGTGAACAGGTGAAGGTGCAAACCCAATCTCATCTCCCTGGAAGGAAGATCAAGCACATCTGGTAGGCAAAGGCTCCCTGCAGGGCTGATAAAGGAGATAGACATTTGGGTAAAGGGTAAGCTATCTGCCTGAAGAAAAGCTGGGAGCAGAGAGAGGGGAGGGAAGGTGTCCTCTAACCTCCACGATGGATGGCTGAAGGAGGTAAGCATCAACAGTGGGTCCTTTGAAATACATAATGCACTTCTGGTTTGGGATCATTTCATGCTTAGTTCAGACAATCACAATTTCAGACCACAAGCCAAAGAAGCTACCCCATAATCAGATCAAACCTCATCAACTGAGAAAAGAGGGTTTACTGACTATTTAATGCTTAGCAGGGGCCGGAAAAGGGATTTGGATTTTGCTACCAGCTTTTTCTCTTCAGAATGATTAACTGGAACCTTCAACCACTAACTGCACTGTCCTAATCCACCCAGCTTCACTGCAGCACTGCTCAGCCAATGTGTGACCCCCGTTGCATCAGGGGTCTTTCCAACAAACCCAGACTTGACCTTCCTGATATTGTTCTTGTTAAAAGAAAAGGGACGGGAGAAAGCAAAGAAATGTAACCTTTTTTAAGTATTAGCAAGTGCAAATTAATTTTTAAAAGATTATTCAGTATTGAGAAATAGGAAACTAATTTGGAATGTCAAAAGCTCTAAGAGCAGCAGTAGCTTGTGCTGGGGATATACTATACAAAAGGCATGTGGTTATTGATCCAACCTTCTGTTTATCCTTTCACATGCTGCCAGCCAGGGCCCCCAGCCAGCCAGGTGGTGTTATGCTACCCAGGATGCAGAAAGAAGCACTGCAGATTCCTTCCCCAGTAAGAATTTCCCAGAAGAGGGTAGAGCTGGCTGGGCTCCTATCGAGTAGCACTGGAGCCAAGATTTTAATCTATTCCCCCAGGCAGAGCCCTATTCAACTTCTAGTGAGGTATTAAACTCTCCAGAAGTTTCACACACATGGGATCATAGCAGAGGATATGTAAAGCTGTCTTCTTTCTTAAACTTTCTTTAGTCAAAGCCACAAAAGCTGTGCTCATGTCAAGAAAGACACCTGCTCCAGGCAATGACTCCTGGCAGCTAAGCCAAGCAGTGCAGGGGCTTATGTGCTACTCACATTTAGCCCTCTCCACGTGCTCACAATGCCTAAGGTGTGCCTTCATCTCTCCAGGTTCCACTATGGTCCTGAAAGATCACAATTAAAAGGAGAGAGAGTAATGTTAAAACACCTGCAATACTTAGGTCACCATCCACCAGAGAAGCACATCATTAATCTGATGCCAAGGCACATTTGCATGGCCTGAAGGCTTGGCATGAAGACATTTATGGATGCTGGAGATAGAAAAGCTTTTTGATATTTCAAAGCCACAAAGAGCAAATAACATCAAGTTTTGCACTCTCCAAACTATCCACAGGCAATGAAGAGAGCTAAATCCTAAGTAATGCTTATTTTAACCTTAGAAGAAAATACTCATTTCATGTTAAAATAGAGCACAGAACCGAAGTAACAGCAACCAATGGGTCAGACCCATGGAATTAAATTCTTTGACAGCACAGGTCCACACTCAGTGAGTTACTCCAGCCAAAGACAGATGACCCCACTGTACTGAATACTGTACAGCCACAGATGGAAACTAAGTGGGAGAAAAGGCAGACACACCATTCATCACCCAAAGAAACCATTTAGTTTGTGGGGTTTGGGCCGAGAACTGGGCACACAGAAGTGTGGAACTATTGTACAGAAAAGCATATCAGTTAAGGTGTACAGCGAGAAGGGTGATGGGAAAGAAACAAATTTGCCACTAGAAGCATTGAAGAGACCTTCTTGGAATAGTCTAGGTTACTGCTTATTAAAATGCAATGACAACAATCATCAAAGAAAAATATGTGTTTTACAGGTAAACACAGGAAATATTTTCTTTCAAATCCTGTAAATACAGGGTTTAAATCCTCGTTTTCTGGTCATTTTCCAGCAAACAAGAAATGAACAGCATCAATTTCTCTCAGCAGTCCAAGAGACTGGAAGATACTGTTACCAGTCCTTTTGTGTATTTCGGTGCTTGGCAGATGTACTTTTCTGGTGCTGAATTGCCACCACCTTTCGTGTGAGATAACACCCTGCAGCTGTGTCAGCCACAGTCCACAGCAGAGTCTGCAAAAACCAGAGAAGCCTTTCCCACCTGGAAGCAGTGAGTGCATAGCAGACTGAACGCACAGGTCCAGCTGCAACCTGAGAGGATAGAAGACCTAAAACTTCCAGTTTACGAATTGGTCACAAGATGCTTAATTCCACAGTAGATGAGAGCTTCAGCTTTACAGGACTGCATCTCCCAGCAACATAGTGCCCTCTAGCCTTAAACGGGATTATGCTTTAAGCCTCAGAGGAAAAACCTCAGTGATATGCAACACTAATATAAAGGTTTATGTCCAATCTTTGGCCTTATCTTTTCAACAATCCATTCAGCTGCTGATCAGCTCTGGAGAAATCTGGCAGACACACAATGCCAGGAAACACAGTACACTCAGAGCAATTTCACACCAGATACAATACTCCCTCAGGCTTTTCCTTACCAAAGCTGGAAGATTTACCACCTCTATAGCCAAAATCCAACTTTCTGTGTTTTAAAATACATGTTGTATCTTGAGAAACAGTTAAAGGATTTGGTGCAACTAAAACCCAGAAACAGTGAGAGACAGAGAAGCAAAGATACTTCTCTACAAATGTGGAGAGAGAAAAGCTACTGACTGCGTGCTGCAAACTCCTTCAGGCAAAGACACCTCCACATGACAGGCTGCAACACAGGAGTCTGGGAAAATTGTTAAAAACTCTCCTCTAATGCTGTGCTATTGGCAGTAAGGTGTGAAAGGAAGAAGGTGAAAGAGAGATAAAAGAGATCCAAACACCGAATCTGCCTTGGTAAGCATGCAGACAGACTGCCCCCTCAAAAAAGGTCTGAGTGTTACTCAGGGGTGAGAAGGAGCAAAGATGCGCTCAGCACCGCCGGCTGCCCGACCCCAACCCCGCTGCATTCGAACCTTGCTCCGCTCCCCACCGCGCACCGTGGCCAAGACGGGGACAGCCTGGGGATCCGGGAGACCTGCCCCATCCTGCCCTGGGACTAGTGAGGAGGAACACAAGGAAACTTCAGAATGGTAACCTTGAAACGAACCAAGAACCAAACGGGGTGAAAGAGGGTGAGGAAGAAGAGCTGCACCTCCAGAGCAAGAGGCTGCGGGGGGCCCCGCGGACGCCTCACCTGGGGCCGGCATCTCGCCCACAGGGAGGCGAGGCACGGCTCCGGACATCGCTCCGGGCACGACTGCGGGCACCGCTCCGGGCACGGCCCCGGGCACCGCTCCGGGCACGGCTCCGGACACGGCTCCGGGCACGGCTCCGGGCACGGCTCCGGGCACCGCTCCGGGCACGGCTCCGGACATGGCTCCGGGCACCGCTCCGGGCACGGCTCCGGACATGGCTCCGGGCACCGCTCCGGACACCGCTCCGGACACCGCTCCGCGCCCGTCCCGTCCCCCCACACACGTGCGCACCCCCGCGCCCCGCCGGCACTCACGTAGTGCTTCGAGGGGTTCCTCCGCTTCTCCACGTCCACCACGTTGGCGTCCAGCACGCTGTAGGACAGCATCTTCGCGCACTCCGGCGGGGCTCCGCCGCTCCCTGCCGGCGCTGGCAGCACCCTCCGCCGCGCTGCCCGCCGCGGCGATGCCGGGCGGGCGGCAGGGACACAGCCAAGGGAGGATGCCCCGGTGCCGGCTCCGCCCCTGCCGCGGCGGCGGCGGCGTCTCCCCGCTCACAGCAGCCCAGCCCAGCCCGGCTCCGCTCCCTGCCCGCTGCCCCGGGGCTGCGCGGCCACTGCGGCGGCGGCAGCGGGAGGGGCCGGGCCGGGCCGGCGGCTCCGCCCCCGGGTGGCAGCGGGGGGCTCTGGCGGGACGGGGCGGGAGGGGACGGGAGCCACCGCCCCCAGTGCCGGAGAGGGCGGGCGGCTGCCCCGGGCCCGGGCAGAGCCCCCGCTCTCTGCCCAGACACCGCGGCCCGGCCTCGAGGAGAGCGCGGGGGAAGGGGCGGCCCGGGGCAGGGAAGCCGCAGGCCCTCCATCGCCGCAGAAAGGGTCCGAAGGGCCCTCCCCGAGCGGCCAAGGCCATGCCGGAAACCCGCGAGTGAAGGGCCGAGCCCGCTCCCACCAGGCTCCAGCGGGGAGCTCAAGGTCGGCCACCGCGTGGGAAGGTCCCCACTGCCCTGTCCCGCAGGGACACAGGCATCACAGATGGAGAAGGTTGCACACACCCGCTGGTATGAGGGCTTTTTAGAGCTATTTCAGCTCCTTGTATATACATGCACAGGTAAATGGGCATCGTCTTCCTCAGTCCCGCGCCAAGAAGAGCTTGCCCCAGAAATTTCAGGGTTTTTTTTCCAATAATGCATCATTAATTTGCATATGATTATTTTAAAGCTACGTCAGAAATGGAAACTTCAGTGTGATCTTCCAGCCCTCAGCTTGTTTTATGACATGCATTAGCTATTCACCAAATTAACTGAAGTTACTAAGATCTCTCCTTCCTCTGAAGTCTCTTGAAGAGCAGCCCATGCAGATTTTCCAGTAAGATTCCAAAGTGCTGCTGTTGGCTCAAGACCTGCCAGCCCAGGAGTGCAAAGAGGACCAGCTCCTGGCAAAATAAGCTTCTCATTTACAGTCAGAACAGTCCATCTCAATGTGATTTCCTTTGACGTGCTCTAGTCACAATTTCTGAAACAGAACTTTTACAATGTTACTGGCCTTGAAACAATAATCATGAGACAGACACCAGAGTCACAAAGCCTTAGGTATTTGGGCCAGAAGGCTGGCATTAAAAAGTGGCTGTTTTCAGAACATAGCAAGTTTCCACAAGCAGCTTAAGGGAGAAAAAAAAAGAAAAAAAAAAAAAGGCAGAAGCAGCCCATCAGTGCACAAGATATCAGCTACTGCCAGGTGCTCTGAGCCAGCCTTCTCCTCCCTCCTCTGCTAATATACAGTTTACCAAAATAAATGACCTGACATAAAAAGCTAAAATCCCAGCATCCCTGCCCAGGAGGTGCACAGGTATACATGAGACAAGGAGGGCGACAGAGGGGAAAACCTCATGTACCCACTTCCATTGGCACTTTTGAGGCTTATGTTCTTCAAGGCACCCTCTTCTTTGAGGGACTTCCCACCTCTAATCCTCCTGCATGACACAAGGCAGAAGAACAATTATTTACATTAGAAACCTTTGCTGTTTAGACTGGCCAAGAAGTCCCTGGTGTGCAGAGCAAACAAAGAAGATTCTTTCTTCAAAATGTAAATATTCAAATAACCCATTGATAAAAATATTCCTGATGTGGCCAGTGTTTTGGGTCTTGGATGCCCCTTCCCTGTGTACCATTATCAATACACATCACATATTCCATACCCTTCTCCTACCAACCTGTCAAAAAAAAAAAAAAAAAAAAAAAAAGTCCCATCCACTGTTGAACACTCAGGGTTTGTTTTAAAACAGCTTTCAAAACATGTCATTGTGAGGGAGAGACAAAATACATCATTCTCCAGACACCCTCCCCCAACCTGACATTCTTACTGATTGGCATCTTTTTACTGATACTCTTCTCATCCGCTCTTGTAAGGAAGGAGCTTCAGTTTTCAACCAAACCTGTGACCAGTGCCTTGGGGTTTGTGGCCCTTTGGTGTCTACCCCGTTCTTTCATGACATCTGCTCCACTGTTCCCCTTCCCTCTATTCAGCACCATTTGATTCTCCTCTGCTCCACACGACCCATCCCACCCGTGAAGCCTGGCCAGCCTTTGCACCTCTGTCCCCCTCCTCCTCTATTATCTGATGGGTTTGTGCTCACAGCCACCTCCTGCTCTCCTTGTTTGCTCGCTGCATCTGTCCATGCATGTAGGAAAAATGTGTGTTGCCAGGGGCATGGATAGTTCTTTTAAAACATGTACAACACCCAGTCTAGTGGGAGTCCAATCTCCCAAGTATTGCAAAGCTGGCAGAAAAATAACCAAAACCCCTTATTATGCTGCAGGCTTGGGAAAATCTGCTCCTGTCTTAGGCAGCAGCTGGGAAATTGAAGCTGATGGCGCTTCCCAGCCTTGTGTTGGAGAGCTGGGCTCCAGCTGCTGGGGCTGAATAGAAGCGAGCCTGTGTAGCAGTAAGGAGCACAGCAGGCTGGGTGCCTGCCCAGCCCCACGTGCAGAACAGCCTATACCTGACCAAGGCCATGAACACAAAGCTGAAACACAAGGCTGTTAATTTGTGGGAAAATAACTCTGGAGATTTTAGTGCTAAAACTCCTAGTATTTATTTTTTTTTTCTTAAAGCCCTCATTACCAAAGTCCTATCATTGCATGGGAATACCACTGCTATTACAACAATTTTAATACATATATTAGTATAAATATTAACTGCTGATTTAATAACTCACCTTCAAAGACTCATGCTTCTGATAAAGTTCACCTGAGGAATACCCTGAGAAATTCAGCTTCTGAAGGCTAAAATAAACCAGCCATTTTTTAAAACCTTTTTTTCTACTCTTTTGCTAGGTGGGTATTGGGGCAAAGATTCTTCTTTCACTTTTTTTTGAACAAGCAGGTAATCACATTAGCCTCACAGACCTAGTGCAGCTACAGCCCAGCAGCCTGGACTCTGCTCCAATTACAGCAAAAGCTGATGCGTGACAGAATGTGTGTGTGTGATGTTGTCAGAGCTGGAGCATGACTTGAGTTTTCATATTTCAAGAGGACTCTGTCATGCTGGCAATTTTTTTGTAAATAAGCATTTGAGTTGTAAATTGAAAACACTTGGATCGTTAAATCAGTGAGAAAATAAAACAAGGGTCAGGCTTTTCTGTGCTCCATTAGGGCCATTTTTAATGCCTCTTATTAATTCATGGCATGTCACTGTAGATAGGTAACTGCCCCTGAATGTTAACCATGCTGGGGTCTAACAGGCCTGTCTGTGGAGGCTGGAGTTGTTGTTAAAGATGATTTTCCTTTCTGTTTTCTGACTGAGCACCCAGGTGGAACACAGTGTTTTCCTGTCCCACTAACTGAAGGGACTGTAACAGTGCTCAGCACCCTGGGGGGAAGTAAAATGCCATGAGCTCAGCCCCTCGGGGGAAGGGGAACTGTGCAGTGCTGTGCATGACAGATTAGCCACACAACTCATTACTGGCAACTGGAGTTGCATGCATAATCTGCTAGACATGGTACTAGAGATGTGCCCCTTAGGGTTTTATTGGCTCTGATGTGCAACAGCACAACACAGAGCCTTTGTTACTCTCCCATCTCAGCTTCTGTACTTACAAAACCCCAGTTTCTTAAAAAGGCTGCTTTCCATGCAGTCCTTCCACTTCAGCATTTCAACATACACGGCCTTTGATAGGAATGACAGGAATGGTAGAGCCTGTCTGGCATTCAAATCTCAAACTCCGAAACAAAGCATAGTGTGATCTTTTTTTTTCTTTTTCTTTTTTTTTTTTTTTTTTTTTTTTCTTTAAAGCAAATTGCATTTCATCTTCCTGGGAGATTACTGTTCTTCAGATGAAATTCACTCTGGAGATAAATAGGCCCAGCTAATATGGTAGAAAGCAACCAAAGGAACCAGCAGCAGTGCTGGCAGAGCAAGTCCCCCTCCTCTAGCACAGTATCTTCGTGCCCCTTCCCCTCCCAGCCTCCTCAGCAGAGAGTGCTGCTTTGTCAGCCCCTCTGTGCAATCTAGTGTAATGGAAAAACCAAAATAATCATTCCTTCTGCAGGCAGTGTACATGCTTTTCCAACGGCATAACAGCTTTTACTTACATTATGAAAGAGCTGCTTCACCCTCTCGACTTAAATTATAGATCATCCTTTCCTTGAAGCAGCTATCTTACAGCTTAACCCTTTCATGACTAACATTATTTTTCAGTGCTCTCTTAGCAGTTGTGGATGAAGGATTTCTCACTGTGGTGTGTGCCCTGCATGGTGTTTAGGGTGGTAACAGCAGATTGCACACTCCTTTTCATCCATGTACACCTTGTACTTTTCCATTTTTACAGAGGCTTTGTAGATATCTCTTGAAGCGCTTAAAAAAATAAAGCAAGCCCAAGCCACACTTTTCTTTATGATATATGTGTCAGGCACGTTTGAGACAGCTGAAGTTTACCAAACTGATCACGGGTTTGGATTTGGATTCCTCAGGTTTCTTCCCGGATGCTATCCCTGACTTCAGCATGCTCACTGTTCTCAAAACAGCACATTTTGAGACTGGTTTCTGCTTTATCCTCTGCAAAAAAACATGGTAATCTCCATTATTGATAACATGGGCTTGTTAAAATAAAGTCAGTCTAGGAAGAAATAGTGTTTCTTTGCATTTTCTTCCCATGTTACCTCTACAGATACATAGATAGACACTGAGATTTAAAATTTCTGTCAACCCCTTTTGAAATTTGAATTGATTTCTTCACTATTTTTACTCATTCAACCCTTTCTGAAACCAAACATTAATTTTATTTGGCTGCACAGTGCCTAGAGAAAGTAGAAGAATTTATCTGGCAATATCCAGACCAGAAAACATTTGACTGACAGACTGTGAACTATAAAAACGTACAAATAAAACCTTAGGAAAAGTTGCTCATGGAATTGCAGTTTGAACACAGGTGATGAGCACACAAGCTTGGCACTGTAAGAAGAATATGTAACATCCAACCTCTACCACTCAGCAGTGGAGTGCATTAACTTTTTGTTTTGTTATCTTCATACAAAAGCAAAGTGGTTTTCCCAACTGAGAGACTTCTGTAGTAAAAGCAGTTCTGGATCTCCTCAACAGCAACCTCATTCCATGGGTAGACACAAAGAGTTTGGTTTTTTCTCCCAGTCATTAGACTGGGGTTAGACTTCATAGGGCAGTAGTGGAGATGCTTGAAAAATAAAAAGCCCTGTAGGATGTTAATTGCTTGTAACAAGAAATGAGATCATCTCAAAACAAAAATGGCCAGTGGAAAGCGAAGTTACAGTTTCTCTAGCAGGGCCTGGTGCAGGTGTGCTTTTCAGCTTGGAGCAGTGGACACACCATCCACATAATTCCAGGCGTTTATTTGGATCCAGACCTGTGTTGAGCCCTGGCCATGCAGCACCAGGAATGCAAGCCTAAAGAACCATTTCAGTAATGGATGCTTTCTCAGCCACTTTTCTGGTGACTGAGCCACACAAACCGCCTGAGACAAGGGCAGCTTTACCTTCAGGATCATTCTCATCAGTTCATGACAACATCTGTGTGACAATTACATTATCCTGTGCATTTTGGTCCTCAAAAGCATATTGGTGACCAATTTCCACTTTGGCATATAACTTTAGCACTCAAGGCATTGGTCTTTTAGGAAGGACAAAATACTCTGCAGAACAGACCTGTTCGAGGATAGTATAAGGAAGGCAGAGGAAGAGCATATAAATACTGCTGTGCTCTATGTAAATTTGCCCAGCTGTTTATGCTAAATGTTCTCTTACTCCATTTTTCCTGACCTCATTTCCTCCTCTGCTTTCTAATTGCAGAAAATAAAGCAGTACAAGTCCTTGCTTTCATTACATGTAACACCTGCTGCTTGTTCTGAAACAGATGTCTACAGCATCATTAGGCAATTATTTCTTCAGCCTTTTTCGGCAGGACTCATTTCAAACACCTTTGTGCTAAATCCTCCTCCTTCAGCTTCCTCTGTATTTCTCATCCTTTCCTAAATTCAGGGTTCCAACAAAAACTCTTCTCTATATCCGTTTGCTCTTGTTATGTTTGTCCTGGATCATTGTACTCACAAGAGGAGAGAGACCATACCTTCTTTGAATCGGGAATTAAGTTCAAGAGATTTTATTGAGGGGGAAAAAAGACAAGGTGAGGACAGAAAACAATGAGAGAGATAAGTCAGCAGAGTAGGCAGTAGTTCAGAACATCAGCTGGCTTGTTACAGCGCAGAGGTTCTTTTGTGGACAATATAGCAAAGAGTCTTACATGAACACAAGGAAAGACCCAACACTCTCAAAGCAAATGACCAATATTGTCAACAAGAGAAAAACCCAGCCCCAAGCACTCTTTTCATTTCTGTACCACCTTTGTTCCTTGCCAAGAAGAGCACATGTTAAAATCTGTTAGGCCTGAAGGACTTGCAGGACTCCGTTGTTGGGGAAGACATTTGAGGGAATAGATTCCGCCCTCTTATTTCCAAATATCACTAAAATTTGGCTGAAGTCTCCACTCCTGGGAGGAACCACGAACTTTCCAGCCCAATAACAGACTTGGCACATACTGTCTTTAATCATGTTGCTGTGCAGTGACATACATTGGCTATTTATCTTACCTTGTTTCCAGCAGAGTGATGTGAAGGTGGCAGGGAGTTACAGTTCTAGCTGGTAGGGAAGGAGTGTGCCTTCTTCCAGTGAATAACAAAAAAAGCAAGCTAAAACAAGAGCTGTAGGACATGCTGTGCCAGGTTAATTGGCACTGCAGTGTTCAGTAGTTAACACTTACTGAAAATCATTCCTTTAGGTTATTTCTTTCACTGGCAAATTCCTGGCTGTGTTATTCTCAGGCAATTTTGTTAATCTGGGCTAGTTTCAGCTTGTAAATTGCTGTGACTGGATTAGTATAGCCTCCACTGCACATTAAAAGATACTAGTGGAAATGGGCTGGTGGCATCATTAACAATCAGTTGCTCAACTTTGCACCACAATACAGCTTTATCAGATTTTAATGGATTTGCAGTTTGCCATCATGACTGTCTTAGGGCAATATCTGTGAGGAAACTTCTGCAAAAATTGTCCAGTCATTTCTTAAAAGAGCACTTGCAGAACAAGTACTTCTCGTGGCAGCTGAAGTTACAGGAACAGGTTCTTTGGGATTGTCCCATGTGTGGTTTCTCTGGTGCTGTCTGACTGTCTTCCTTCCCTTTCACGGAGGCACTGATTTGGGCTTCCCTCTTCTATCAGTGCATCCATTTCCTACAAATGTGCCAGACCATAACAGTTCAGGGTCCTTCACATCTCTTAACTAGCTGAAGTCACTTGGGGTGGTGGGACAGAGGTTGACAAATGCCCAGACACACAGCATAATTGCATCAGAATAGAGTCACAATTTCTCAGAAAAAAACAGGCTGAAATAGACACACTAACTGGGAGACACACAAGCTAGAAGTCCACATCAACTTTACAGATCATGTCTGCAATGAGATCTGCAAGGACATGAAAGTGGCAGGGAGAGGCAGATAGCTTCTATCAGGGGCGTGACTTCTGCTTGTTCAGGTTTGGGCAAGACACGACTCTTGTTTTTCAGTTGTGGGTTTGTTAGGTTATTTTTTATACTTGGATACCTGCAAAAAAACCACCACCAGAATATTTTGGGTGCTACTAAATCTTCAGGAGGGTGGCGTGGAAAGAGTGTTGTTTTCCTGAAATTTCAGCTTTTTCCTGCTGCAAACTACACTGGGAAGAAAGTTGCCTCTTCTGGTGCCTAGACAAGGAACGAAGGACAGCCTGCTGGAATCAGAATGGGGCTGTGAACAGTGTCAACTCAGTTAGGCAAGAGGATTATTCTGAAAGTTTCAATTGCCAAATCTTGACAAGGATATTTGAATTAAGAAAGATAAAGGGAACAAAATAGAGGAAGGGATTTTGACAGGATCTGTAACTGTGAATGAAATGAAGGGCCTGACAATTGAGTCAGAGGGGAGAGTGGAGCTCAGGAATAGATGAAAGAAATTAGGGGGAATGTCTCTGTGCCTGACAGGGTATATTGCTGGGAATGAAACCCAAGATCCTTGGCTCAGCATTTCCCTGCTGCCCACAAGGATCCACAAAAATGTTGCTTAATGCTGGGACTCCTGGAGGATGGTAACCAATTATTGTAACTATTCTTTTATCTTTGTGGCTGAACTTTTTTTTGCTCTAGCCTGGAGGGTTGGGGCAGGAGGACTGGAGACTGTGCTGAAAGACAGCAATAAAGAACATAGTGCTGCATTGACAGGAAGTTTCAAAATTCAGGGTGCCCATGGGATCTGAACTTGCTCCCTTTGCCATTTAGAGGTAAGTATAAAGATAAAAATCTTTGCTAGGCATATATTTTCCCCACAGGATCAGCTTACTCTCAAAGTAAACCAAACAGCATTTCTTTGACAAACAGATTTCCAGTACTCTGTCTTGTAATTCTCTGTGTGGCTTCATGTCTCACTGGCTGCTCATTGATGAATTCTCACTTTGAATAATGAATTAGCAAGTCCTATTTACGTTTTTCATCTCTGGAATACACAAGTATACAGAGATCCAAAACAATAACAGCTTTTAGTCATGTCACCAGTATTTAACTTGGTCATTTATTATTTTGAAAGTAAAGTTCATTTCCCAGGCAGGTTGTATAAAATGCATGGCCCTTGTGGGTCCAAATTTACAATCCAAAGATTTCAGAACACGAATACTCAGAACTCATATATCTGGATTTCTATTTTTATGAAGTCATCTAAGAAGTCATAAGAGGAAACAGGATTCCAGAAAAAAATATGATATAAATAAAAACAGGGAGACCATCATTGCCCCATAGGCCTTGGAGAGAAAGATGACAAGACAAGCAAAACAATATGCATGGGAAAAAAAGGCAGAAAAATACAAAGCTATTAATACTAACAGAAGAACAACTTTTCCTAAGTTCCACTCCAGCATCCATTCACTCTGTCCCACACAGCCATACAGTTCTTCTCTAATAGCTCCCATAGAGCTTTTAATGACTAGGACTACAAAAAAATTGAGGCTTATGACCTACACAGGGAGTTGTATTATTCCCAATTTACTGAAGGGGGAAACTGAGATATGAAGCAACCTAATTTCTACTCTCACATAAGCAGAGGGCAGGGACTGAAAGCAAAACTGTTCCTTTTTTCCTCACCAGAAAAGCAATTACCGTGCATTTTGCTAGAATAGAATCTTGAGGTTCTTACGTAATTTTTGTTCTGAGGTGCTGCATTTCTATGGAAACTTACCTTTGAAAGGTAATGTAGAAATGCCAACTGCTTTTAAAAATTCAATTTTCCTTACCTACATTTTACTGCCGTAACTGTTGCTATGGAAACTGGAACTGGCCATGAAGGAGTTCTACAACATGAATTCTCACTTGTCAGTCTTACATTAAAGTGCCACCTTCTAAGTCCTTTAATAAACCAGCAATAATTGTGTTGCCTAATGAGTTTTCAAATTAAACAAAACAAGAAAGCATGCTTTCACTGAATGTTCTGCACAATATTTCATAGGTGTGGTCTAAGAATTTTAACAGTGTGCATGATATGACTCTGTTGGTTAAGGATATGATCTTTAAACAGAGAGACAGTTTATTTGCAGTAAAAGCCCTAGTGTGTGTAGTTTGACTCACATAAAGGTGACTTATACCAACATGGGTATGTCTAGACTGCTGTCACAGAAGCACACTGTAGAGATACTGAGTGAATGGGTAAATCAGCCTACAGTGAGCTCTGTGCTCCCACAGCTCCTCGGGGCACTGCTGTGCAGGCACATGCATCTTGTATTCCCTGTAGGTGCAAGAGGGAATGCTCTCAACCAGAGTAAGTGTTAACATGGGCTGGGTGGCTACTGTGGAAAAAATAAAGCATGCAAGCTTAAGACACAACTATTCTGCAGAGACAGTCAGAATCTGTGTAGCTTAAATCTAGGCTCCTCCATTAACTTCAGCTTAACCTTTCACTCTTGTAAAAACTATAGGCTCCCTTGTGTTTATTCATCTTACTTCCCTGAGACAACTCATCTGAGAAAAATCTCTTTTTCCTGTTCTTAGGGAACAAACACCATCAGAACACACCCTCCATCACAGAAGTTGAGCACTCCCAGCAAGGATCAACTTAAAAACTTCCAGGGACAGGTTTTTTTGCAGAATAACTTACCCATGTTTCCTGAGATAAGTTCCTTCCACCTCATCTCCAAGGCTTTGCAGTTGTTCAGTGCTTTTGAACTGCAACAGGGGCACGACTGATGCACATACAAGTGTCTGTCCCTTCTACCTCCAAGCATAGAAAATCAGTGGACAGAGATTTTAGGCAAACTTTACACAAAGAAGCACATCTAAAATACAGTAAGTGTAGCCTCAGAGTTGGAGGAAACAGAATTTGCATGTGTAACTATGCAAACTGCAAAGCCAAAGATGTAATCCTATTTTGGTATGAATTTATTTTAAAGAGATCCTAAAGAGCAACATGATCTCCAAACTCTCTTTTTCTCACTGAACTCATCCAGCCCACACACTCAGCAGTCATCCTCAGGAGAACCAGGGTCTTTCTTCTAACTTAAGAGAGGAGATCACCTTTCCCATTGAGCTAGCACTGTTCCTTTAACCCTTTCCCAGCAAAATAAGCTTCTGCTAATACAGAACGTTTCAAGAAAATGGCCAAGACAGCCTCGTAAATTAGATGACATGCTCTTCCAAATGGTCTGAAACACCTCATACTTTCCTTTAAAATATCCTCAAATTCATTCCAAATAAGCAACTTATCTATATGTACTGCTTGATTGTGGGCAATTCCTGAAGTGAATTTGAATTTAGGGATCCATATTCCAAGCTACTTCTTCCACAGATAGCCTTGTTTTTAAGCATACTTCAAAGTCATCAACAATCAGAGCAGGAATTTAAAAGCAAATCTCCCCAGTGGCCAACCAGATCTTCTCATAGGCATAAATTAAAGTTTCAACTCCCCTCAGTAGCACTTCACTCAGCATCTGCCTTCTTTCCCTGATTTACAGAGATATTCAGGGCATGGGGAGGGAATAGGGAACAAACACTCTACAACTCTTCCTTAATCCTCTTCTATTTCCCTCTGCACAGGTACCTCCCTTCAGCACCTGTTCAGGGCCCATATTAAAGACATGACTAGAAGGTACCTGACTCAGAGAAGAGCAGCAATGTGAGGAGTAGGGAAATCTGTGAGGAAAGCAACTCCTGAGTCCTGCAGCAAGTAAGGAACACACAGCAAATGAATGATTCACCCGCAACTCCCTACTACGAACAAACTTACCATCACTTTAAGGCCAGAGTTTTCCACGGGCCTCTGAATGCAAATGCCAAATATTTTGTCAAGCCTTTCTTTTAGCCTATATCTCACTGCAGCCAGGGCTTGGAGTGAGGCAGATAATATAACAAACCAGAGAGCTGGCACACATGGGGCTACTCACTGGCTTTCCTCATGCATATGGTTTATTTTTCCCTGCTATGTCAATCCTTATATAGGGCTTTACCACTACAGCTGCCTCCAGGGAGTCTGCTGTTTCAACTGTTACAGGGAAGGTGCAGAGGAAAAAAGGATAAATTCAATCTTTTGTACTCTTTTCAAGTTAAAGGTCTCACCTCCACACCATAAATTAAACAGATTAATTAAACAGACAAGCCCCTGCAGCAGCAAGCCCTCTCTAAGCATAAATATTGAACAACTTTGTTTTTTAACTGTTGCACATAACAGTTATAATTATTCCAGATCAAACATCTTGCATGGTGACCTTCTTTAGGCCAACACTGTTTCATCTATGCCTTGTGTTCTTCTGCAAGCACAAATACGGGTAGTATTTTACCACAAAAGTGACAAAGAATAAAAGACACAAAAAGCAACAGGCAGAGGAGATTACAGTGGGTCTCAATGGCTTCTGTATTTTCTTTTCCAAAGCATCTAATTTATTTTTTACCATTTGTGATATTAAAAGCAACTGAAACAGCAAAACAGTAGCTGATTTTGAGAATTCTGGTCTGAAGAGAAATTGCAGCAACAGGCATCAGTAGCATAGATGGGAATGCAGAGGAATGCAGACATGCTTGACAACCAGTGGGCAAGACTGCAGGATGGGGAAGGGATGCAGGACCCCATTCCTGAATATTACTTTACAGAGAATGGTGAGGATTGCTTTAGTAGTGAGAAAGCTGCCCAGATTGAGGAACACATCTTCACAGACAGAGATGCACCAGCACTGCCAGGAAGGACAGGCAAATCCTTCTGTTTGTGTGTCCTTTCTCTGGATGTTACCAAGTTCACATAGAAAAATCCACAGCTATTACCACATGAAACCTAGCAAGATTAGTCCTTAAGCCAGAAAAATATCTCCTGAGATGACCACTGCTGTAAACAGTGATCTTTAACAGTAATTTTTCTTTAGGCCAAAGGATGCAGATGTGTGGATGGTCAATGTCTCATCCTACTCCAAGAACACAACTTATTTTTCAGTTTCCCTGCTAGATTAGAATGCCCAGAATCAGTTTGATACCACTTTCACTAGGAATAGCAAGAAAGTCAGGAAGAATATTAAAACAAGTATTTGAACAATTTCTCTGAAGCTGGACAAAAATAGAATTTAGAGAATCAAAAGGCTCTTTTTTATCCACTATCTAGATCACACTAGATAATTACAGCTTGTCACAGTCTCTCAACCTCTCTTTCTTATCTTTTCTCTTTAAAATACCATAAAATATCCTTCCATAGTGCTGACAATATCACTGTTACTCTCCAGTAGTTCCAAGACACGGTGCATCACCACTTCAGGCAGAGAGGGGTTGTAGCTCTGCTGAACACAGCTCAGGACATGAAGGAAATGGCAGCCTTTTTCAGCATCTGCAGGAAAAAAGGAAAATGCAGCCAGGCATGGAAGAAATATTTCAGTCCAACTGTCTCTTTTGAACTATCAAAATACAGATCAATCATGAAAAATCCCAGAGCACTAGATACAGAAGCAGATGTGTATTGAGAAGAAAGAGATCCTGTCTGTGCCTACAGTTCTCCAATTATCAAGTGTTCCTAGTGACTTTTCTGAGAAGTGTCAGGGCTGTAACAGTAGTAATGAGGGTGAAAGATAACTCAGTCTTGTGTGTTAAGACAACTCTTAACACACAAGGCTCAGTATAACTTGATGAGGAGTTCAATAATGTAAGGGTACCTCCACTGTGCACCTGTGCAGGTTATCCAGTTTTTGCAACTTCAGAAGGAAGCAAATGAAAGTCATTTTACAGAGACCCAGCTTCACAACCTTCAAGCACAGCGGGGAGGTGTGTGGCCAGGGCCTGTAACCGCTGGCCCAACGCTGGCATCTTGTGGAAAAATTGCTGCACTGCAACTGCATGCACCTCGCAATGCTATCCCATCCCTACCCTGCAGATCACCCAGACAATTACGGGAGTAGAAAGTCATGGAACCATCAGTATCAGATTTTATCTCATTTTAAGTGGAATTAGCCCTGCAATGTACAAGAGAACAGAAGTTTAAAATAACCCCCTTTGCTAGGGGCAAGCACAGAGGTCCTTCATGGCTGCACACATCTATTCTGTGCCAGGTGGGGCATTGTTTCAAGCTGTCCCAGTTATCATTTCCTCCAACACAGTCTGTACCCCACTAATCATCAGTGCTGCAAGCTCCCAGTCCCCCAGGTGCTGAGGTCCACAACATATTTCTGTGCAGCAGCTGACAATGGAAAACAGACATAAATCAGATTTATCAGCACAAATTATTTTCCTTCTCCTTAGCTCATGTGATACAAGGCAAGTTTGATAAGGGTACTGAGAAACTGCCGTGGGCCAGAGAGGGCCCTGTATTTTGTTGGTTTTTGGCTTTTTGTACTTAATTCTCTGATCCAGAATCTGCTGAGCCCCAGAGCTGCCTTAGAACCTGATGAGAAAAGTCCCTAGTAGATAGCAGTAAATAAACAGTTCAGCCTAATTCTGATTAGGCTGTGAATCAGGCAGAAATACTTCCTCAGAAGTATCCAGCATGATAAAAAGACCTTTGTGGCCAATAGCCAAAAATGAGTCCACTACCCTGAGAGAGATAACTGCAGACTACAGAACAATGCCTCTACCTGGTCATAGTGATTGTTGTTGCAAACAAAATGGGTAGCTGCACTTTGCATTTGTCATTGGTTTGTCGTAAGAAGGTCAAATTGCCTATCCCTGATCCAGAGTAACTTAAATCTCAATGAATGACATAAATGACTCAGGTGTTACCTAACAGTACAATGTGTACTTTCCCCCTAGATGCTGGTAGAAAATGGCACTTTGGGGAAGCTGTAGGTGTGTACAATGATTAAGTAACCACAAAACTCTCCTGTCCCTCTTTCACTGACATGCTGGGTTCTTGCTTTTGTCCAACAGCTGAGGGAAGCCAGGCTGTGATTACTGTCCTGCCTGACAACCAACATCAGAGGGGACAGAGTTTTAGAACACAGAGCATTTGCTCACTGCAGACGTCTCACATAGGGTACATTCTGACTTATTAAATTTAACTTCAATTAGTTCTGGTTTTTGTCCTCTTTACCATTAGCCTGATCGAAGCCTAAATTTTATAAATTTTAGAGAGAATTTCAGAGAAACATAGCAAATTTATAAAACAAAGAAAGAAACAAACCAAAACCCAAATCCATTTTGCAGTTCAGTCTGGAGTCAAAATGTGCTATCTGGCTATATTAAGCTTCTAGATGGACCCACAGTGGTCTCTCACGAGTGCATTTAAGATCAGGAATTATAAGTGGAGCCAAGGACTAGGGCTGTCATGTAGGCACATTACAGATCAGGGCTTGTGCAGCTCTGAGTAGGCAGGCAAGATTTTTTTTTTTAAATCTGTACAATAGTTTCAGACAGCTGGGTTGGGCCTGGGAATGTGTCACAACTACAGCAATGGGGCAAGGCGTTGCCTGGAAAACTCAGAGAGAAGTAACTCATTGGAGAGAAGAGTTAGATTTATCATAAATCATGCCTCTTGTCATGGAAGATTACTATTACTCTTGGAGGAAAACGGGTAGTAATTTCTTGCAACAAACAAGAAAAAGCCCTAGAGGTGAATGGCCATGTCCCTGCTCTCTCCCTGGAGCTCCTGCCGGCAGAGGGGGGCCGGCAGCCGCGCTCAGCTCCGTGCTCTTGCATCATCCCCGGACAACAAATACCGCCGTGCCTGCTGGTTTCGATTGAAGCTTCTTGGCTTTGCTTCTGCTGCCAATGACCAGAACATTGAAATGACCTTCTGGAAACCAGCAAAGGGACACTGATCTGGAAATTGTCCTCTTTACAGTGGGAAACTAAGTAGGGGGAAAGCTTCAAGGAGAACAAGAGGGTTTGTAAGAGAGTTGCTGATTTTAAACTGCTTATTATGGAAAACATGGCTTTGAGGACTCAAGACTCTTCAAAGTCTTTTCTGTGACTGATCTACAAATTACTCTTTGCTGTTGACTTTCGTGACCTAAAGAACTTCCCAACTTCTCATGGATCACAGAGTACTTGACCAGTGTGACAATGCACAAGAACGGAACAAATAGGAGGCAGTCACTCAGTGCCTCTGTCAACTGTATAGAGGTTCTGGCCTTGACAGTGGCATAGTTATATTAAAAAAAGCAACTTACCAGGACAACTAACTGATGTATAAAATGAGCAAAGAAATGATTTGACTCTTAGAGAAATTACATTTGTTAACTGGATAAAAGACAATAAAACAATGTGATACAGCAATTTGTTGCACTGAAACACCCTCAGGCAAACAAGCCCATTATTAACCTGCATGATCAGTAGTAGCCTCTTCTCCCAAAACCTTGTCTACAACTGTACCACTTCTTAAGAGAGACAGTTCAAACTCAAACTTGATTTTGCCTCACTTAGCCTTTTTTTCACTGCAGGATAACAATCATACTCCAGGTCCTACAAGTGCTATTGTAGTTATGACAGTACAGGGATATGAGCAATGTAAGATTTTATGCCTTATGTTCCAGTCAGTCATTAATTCTGTACTAAAGCACATTCTGTCCCACAAATAGCTGCACTCTGGCAGCAAGTGATCCCTGCTGACACATTCTATCCCACTGCTCTGTAGAAATATACCTGTTTAATTAGAACACATTCAAGTCAAGCACAAGTTATCACTTTGGCAGTAAGACAGAATAGTTTGAGGGACAGGGATAACTCAGGAGCCACCTGAGGCACGTTATCTGAAAAGAAATAGACTTTGTTCAACTGAAATCCTTAACTACAAAGAAATGCCATCTGAACTTTACCTGAGCTTAAAATCTCCAGAGAATATCCTACTGACTTAAGCAAGTTGTATTGTTGACTTAAAGGAGGTGGGGATTTCACCTTTCTGCATGGTCACTTTTGTGTCAACTCCCCTGTAGAAACTGAACCAGCAAGATTTGCTACTTCTCCAGACTGCAGAGCAACACCTGCTAGGTGGTGACCTGACTTCATTACATTTGGTTCCTCCCAAAATCCACGTATTCTCAAAAGATATAGATCTAAGATAATGGCTGCTTATTTCAGATTGAAGAAGTTTGTTTCCTCCTGGGCACACCTGCTCTTTCCATGTTCACAGGAAGCTGCTCCTGCACTCCTGCTTTTAGCTATACTGATTAGCTACACCAGCAACAGCTCGAGTTCCAGGGTGAGGACAGGCAGCATATCCAATCCAGCAGCAGGAGGAGATATTGTCATCAGTATATCAGCACCAGCTCATCAGAGCTTTCTCTCTCTGCTACTTACGCCTGGGTTTTCGACAGTCTTCTTTAATCACATCAAGGGTCACTTTAAACAGCTCCTTATCATGGTCAGTCACCTGAAGAAAAAAGAAGGAACTGGTCTTGCTGTTGAAAAACAATCCAATGCCATGGTGTATTCTGAGCTAACGCTGTCATAATCATACTCTGCATTTAATGCTGCCCCCAAAACTAATAATGGATATTAAAACCTTCAGGCAATATTTTTACTACTTTTAGCAGAATCCATGAGTTAGGTGAAGAACATGATACAACTAAGTTTGACCCAAAGGAGAGTGACTGACTCAGCAGAACAGCAAGCTTGAACCCACTTGGATAAGGAGAACTGTCCCAGATCCCAGTTTCAGTGAGCTCAGGTGGATCAGAGCAGGTTGGCAGCCCAGTGAACATGGACAGAACTTGGAACAACTCAGTGGGTGATACAGAGGCACAACCAACAGTGAAGTAAGCTGCAGAAAATACTTCTGAGTAAACTGAGAGCACCTGGATGTCCTGCTGCTCTTTCTGAAACATTTCTACTATTTATGCAATAATTTTATTGTTTTCACTGATTATGAAAGTCATACCACTGAACTTGTTTGCAACCACAGCTCAGTTCCTTACATAGTATAAGTCCTTGGAGCTGCTAGGTTTCTGGAAAACCACTCCTTTTTCTTGTAGCATCTTTATTGCTTCCTTAAAAGCACTGTGAATCCTTTTGGAACTGGAGCTACTTTCTGACTTCACCTAGATGGAAAGAAAAGAATGAAGCAGATGGTGAGACATCTCAGCTGAACCAAAGTTACCAGCAATAGCTCCAGATGCTTGCAAGAAGATGACTTCAGATCCTCTTTAACATGAATTTTGTTACACATTTTTCTTCATTTAGTAATTCACAAATCATATCTGTTATGTATGAAATTACCAATATCTCTGAGCTTTAAACAAAACCCAAACACCAGAAGCTTGTACCAGTCTTGAGGAACCACAATCTCCAAACTGCCTTGTTTGTGATTAGCAGCTATTTGGTGATGTACTGAGAAATCTTTTTTGGAATATTCTTGTGATGCTTGCAGATCATTTGGCTTTTTTGTTAATTAAGCTTTGCTCACTGTCAGAGTTTTCCTGTACATAAGTGTAGGAAGGTAGGAAAATCCATATTTTCTAAGGTGATATTCAGGAGGAATCCAAGTGCTAAGGACTGGATTCCCATCTCCTGGTTTCAGGAAAAGGAGAAAACTGACAAAACCAGTATTTGTTTCATGCTCCGTTTGTTTCCAGATTTTTACAAACATTCTAGTCATGCTCTCAGGAGCTTCTCCACAGCCTAATGAAGTGAAAGAATAAAGAGCATGCAAGAAATTAAGACAGGTATATGAAATAAGGAAACAAAGGATTCCGTTTTGAGGGTAGGTGGGAAATTGGTTTTTTGTGAAAGGAGAACAATGTGTCTGGAAGTCCATAACTGAGGTTATTTAGAACACAGGGTTCTGTGTTTGGGACACATCTAACAGAGCAGAAGGAAGGAAGGGGAGGGGAAAAAAAACCAGGGAAAAGCAGGGTTTGTTTGGAAGTAGAGCTAAGAGAGTGGAATGACAGCTAGGGAAGTGGAAGGAAATAATTAGTTGTGGAGAAGGGAAAGTATGTGTAGATAAGAGCAAAACTATGAATTACTCTTCTCCATCTCCATCTGTCCTACTGTGTCCTTCAACCTCCCATTTATCTACACAGACTGCTTCAGTTCCCCAATTGCTGTTTTCTCATCTGTTGGGAGCACACTGTGCTCCCTGTGGTTTTTGAGAAGAGAGCTAAACTGCTTCCCACAAACCACCATTTGATAACTAGAACCACACCAGAGCAACCAGAGTAAGATTTACCAAGCCATTCCTTCAACTATCACCAGAAATGCTCCCACCCTGTTCTGAACAAAAATATCAGACTTCACATATCCTACTTCACTCACCAGGAGCAGCTCAGAGCCTCAGGAGTGAGGCAGGCAATCATCATGAACTAGAAAGAAAGTACATGAATATGCGAAATGGACACCACAGGAGCAAAGGAAGAATATCTTCTCACAAAACAATCATTCAATGCATTTGCAGCTCTCAAGTGACACTCCAACAGCCTGGAAGCTGATGTACCTAACTGGGAACAGTTCTGGGATCCAAAAGGGATATTGGTGTTAGCATGCATCACAGGTTTCTCCCTCCTGTTCCTTCAGATAACCCTCAGGATTTCAACAGGCCATAATCACATCTCTCTCTCCGCCCCACATCACCTAACTCTCTTTCTTCCCTCAAATCAGTAGTAAAAATAATTGCTGAATACTTCAAGATAATTAACACAGAACAATGGCTCTCATTCTCAGTTCAGTTTCCTCTGTTTCAGGCTGAAGGATTCAGTGACTGAACCTTGTCTGTCCTCCTGCCCACCATACCATCAATGTGGATAACAACAGACTCTGCTTCTAATTACAAACTTGGCTATGCATCTGGACACTGTTCCAGTCACATTAATACCACTAAGGTATTTCTCTTCAATGTTTCTTCAGTTCATCAGAAGAGTCACAAACATAAAATGCAGCAGGAAGGATTAAGTGAAGAGTGAATATTTGCTCACAGAAAAGCACATTCTCACAGCCATATGTAAAACGAAGATACTTTGCCTCTCACTCAAATGCAGTAATAAATCCTCAAGAATGTAAGAAATTGCTAGCAAAGCAACAAATTCAAGACTCTGATCAATTTTTAATGTGAAAGCAAACATTTGGGGAGAAAAAAAGATAACAATATTTCCAAAGAAGCTCAATAATTATTCAGTTTGGCTTACCACTGAAATCCTGTCAGAAAAGGGAGATAATTAAAAACAGACTCTGTGTGAACTGACACACAGCTCAGCCTGGATGGATACTGAAACAGAATCACTAAGAATGCAAGTCAAGGCACTGACAGAGTGAAAGCAGCAAGGCCTTATTATAAGTAAGCAGCTGCTCCATATCAGCACTCTCTCATATGTGTTGCAGAATCCATGGAAAAGGGCTTTGTGGCAGAAGGACTGTTTCTGAAAAACCAATTAGGGCTCCTGCCCACTTTAATAATACCATATTATATATTAATACAAAAATATTATGTATTATTGCTGTTTAATAGTACCATAAAATGACAGGAAAAATTTGGGGTTTCTTCTTTATGTGCTCTAGAACACGCTTCCTCCTCTCCATTCTTCTGGGTATAGTAGCAATTCAGTTTCTTTGTCAACACAGTCTAAAATTGCTTATTCTGCTCTTTTGGTCCACCCAAAGTAGCTTCAGCATCTCATCCTGCAAATGCACAAGTCAACAGCACTTCTGCCCAGTACCTCTCCCAGTGTTCACAGCTCCTCTTGCAAAGTGCCCAACTTGGGCATGCCTTAGTTTCAGGGTGCAGCATTTCAGATTCTCTGAAGCAGTAACAGCAGGGTCTTCCCCCTCTCTTCCAAATCAGGTCCTTTTCAAATAAATTAAGCTGTACATCCAAAGCATAGGAGCATTCAAGAATCAGTCATCCCTTTTGTAAAACACATTGTGTGTTTGTATGTGTGTAACCTGACACAGAAGCAGCTATTAAATAATAATTTTACTATCATTGCCCTCACTCTCAAGAATGGACAAGGGCTCTGTATCAAAGCCAACAGAAGAATCTATGTATCCAGAATTAAGTTGGTGCTTTAATCAATATATTCCATCTGATAGGCCTCACACAGCTTAGTGGGCTGGTGCTGTGCAACCAGTTATTCTTAGATCTTTAAAACAAGACAAGTTCTCTGTACAATCAATAATAGGTCAAAGAAATGAAGTGGTACAGGAATTAGTGAGTCTGTTCTAAACACTGGAACTATGTAACCTTTGACTCATTATGAATCACACCCTGATGGTGTTAAAGTTTCCTGGTATAACCACACATGTGATTCTACTCATAGAATCACCTTTTGCATTTTCTCATGTAATGTTTAATCCTGGGCTTAGGCAGGTGACAATTTTAGTAATAGTGATCCTGGACGTGTCAGTCCTGAAGTCCTATAATAAACTTTGCAGATTATTATAGCAAACAATATTTAAAATAATATTTTTAAATGTTTAAATAATATTTTAAAATATTTAAATAATATTTAAAGCAGTGGTGAAACTTCCTCGAGAGGCAGAAAGACAAAGACACCGCATCAAGAACTTTCAATGAACTGTGTTACAGCTACGCTACAATGTACAGGGTAGACACAGACAGTGTGAACAACACTGCAAAACTTCCTGCCTTAACTACTTCTCATTGGTGACCTTGAGATAATATTCAAATCAAGAGGAGCACAAACAGCACACTCTGCAAAGCACAACTCAAGTTACATGTCCAAGCCAGTGACATTCACAAACTGCAATGGCAGCACTAAAATAGCACACACTATAGCTTATGCATGGCAGAAGGGCAGAAATATTGTTAATCAAGACTGGATGGTTTAAAGCATTTCAGCTGAGAAATTGGATGGATCCACTTAACATGTAGCTTTCTTTTAAAAAGTGACCAAAGACTTGTCCATTTGCCAAACATAACTGCCTAAGTCCAGCAAGTACACTCTGGAGGTTCTCTAAGCACAAAATTACTTTTTCTTGTTTCACTCGTAGTCTTCCTTCTAGTACCCACCCCTCCAGACTCAAAAGTCACTTGTTTTAAGGGATAGGGAAAAGCCTACACCTTCAGGATAGATGGGGAACTGGTTATGCAAATTACAGCTCCAGTGGCTTTAAAACTCATAAAAGATTTGTTAATTTTTAACTATTTTTAAAAGCAGTTAAATTCTCTTCCTCATCATCTATAGACTATAAAATTTAATTTTCCCTAGTATAGGTCTGAGAAGGGGAAATTGTTTCAGTTCTGCCAGATGCATCTGATAGAGGGAAATTTATTCCAGAGAGGCAGAAGACTGCACTGTCAGGGAGGCATCAGGACTGGAATGAGGCATTTATTGTAAGACATGTATCGGATGTGGACAGGGCTCAGCTACACAGCAATGCTGGAAAGGAACACAGAGATGCTGCCTACCTCAAACTATCCCAGCTAACTCCTTCCATTTTCACCCTCTGCTCCACTCCTCTGCAGTGACTCCACAACAGCTCTTCACCTCCCTGGAGAAAATATTCCATGGGGAGACACCCTCCCACTATGACAAACACCGTGCAAGTGCTTTAAAAGTTTCAAAAGAGATGAAGGGGGAAAGGGGGAAAGAAAGAGAAAGGAAACAAATAGTTTAACAGCAACTTGTGCTCTAGAACACTGGATCAGGATAAAAAAATTACCTACACATCCAAATAACTCATCCTTTTACATCCAGGAAAAGTGCAAGAAGTGCACAAGTGTGTATATTGTGACATGGCCTAATTTGCTGAGTTGGCTCTGTAGCTCCTGCCTTGCCAAACAGGCCCAAAATAACATTGTTCCACATCAGCAGCACCTTTTATCCTCTTGGTTTGAGGGCAGTGCAAAACAAAAGACTACTGAAGAGAAAAGAAAGGAAGAGGGACAGAAATCAGATCTATTACACTTCCTTTTGTGGATAGAACTGGGTACTTGACCCTTTGCCAATTATGAAAGGTGACACCTTCTAGAGATGGAGTAGAGGAACAAGGAAATACATTTCCAGAGCATTACTAGGCACCCCTCCTAAGGCATTCATGCCACTTGACAACTGCAGGTCCTTTCTCATGCAAGAACAGATAATCTTCTTTGCAAGAAATTAATAGTAAAGGACAATAAGGAGAACTGCAATTTCTAAATAAGCATCTGTGTGCACAAATTCCTGGGACATATACTCACATCCTTGCATCAGGGTCAGGAGCAACTACTCATTATTATGATAGCTCTTCATGACTGCTAACAACACTGATGCTACAGTATTTTTCTTGGTTTGGGGTTTTCTTAAGTTGTTTTTCTTGGTTGGTTGGTGTTTTGTTTGGGTTTTCTTGGGGTATTTTTTCGGTCTTTCTGTTTGTTCTGCACCAGTTCCTACTTTAAATGGCTTTGTAAATTATTTATCTTGGTCTTTGTATAAATGCTGAAGCGTTTAAGTTTCCAGTATTGGACACAATGGCCACTACTTCCTTTAATGTAAAGTGTTTGGGAACTTTTAATACTGTTCTAGCTAGTTTAGAAAGTACCAGGCGCCATGTTGGATAATCTACTAGCAAAATTTTCAGTCTAAAATGAGAATAGCTCTTGTGAGTGCTAATATCCATGTTTGTTTTAAAGCAAACCAGAAAAAATTGCCTTAAATAAAAACAAACAAACAAAAACTCCAACCCAGCTATCAAAAACAGCTATCAGCAGCAGTTCAACAAGGCCAACAAGAAAAGAGCTACTTTTCATCATTATTTGACTTCATCTGCAAGAGACTGGTTTTTGTGTTATTTTTTGGGGTTTCTTAAGAATTAAACAAACATTAGAATTCAGCATAACACAGCACTTAACATTACAGTGCACATCAAAATCAGGGTGAAAAGGGATTTATTTCTCTACAGAAAACCAAAAAGTAAACAAATGAATCACAACACTCCAGCTTAAGTTCCAAGTGCCATTGCTTTCATGGTAAAAGATGTAACTGTAAGCTTTGCAGAAACTTACCACTCCATATCAGTTGAGAATCTGATTTGTAATTTCCCCAACTAATACAGAATAATATAAAGCTATTTTACAAAATGAATGTTGGTCTGCTTCCCATTCTGCAGCTGATCAAGAGGTTACGAACTCACTGGAAAATTTCATAATAGTTTGGTTACACGCAACTGCCTGTAAACTGATTTCAATTTAATCCCACCTTCTCATCCTTTCACAGTTAGGGACTTCTAATGTGAGAAACATGTAGCAGGGAGCACTGCTCATCCATCATAACTTCCTCTTGAGAGCTGCATCTCAATTAATATATTGAGCTTCAAATAAGAAACAAGACAAAGATTTAGTGCTCCCTTCTCCTGATCAGATTCAGGATCTCAAACCTCTGTCCCAAAAAAACTCAAGCACCTTAAAGCAATTTCTTTTTCTGACATTGCTACTAATTACAAATCTAAATAAAGTAGTGACTGTTGCAGGCTGTAAGATTGCTCAGCCCTAACACAAAATTACCCCTAATAACTGAATGTTCTTACATTAATTTTTCCAGCCCAGTTTTATACATCTAAAGTAACATGATTTCTTCAAACTCTGTAAATAATTAATGTGTAAAGCTCAAGCACTAGTGGTTTTTGAATCCTCTGAAGACACAGTCTCTTGTCTGTTTATGCTTTAGAAAGTACATGGTATTATGCCCCACCACTAAAAGCTTGGAACAGGTGCTTTCACTCACCTCCTCACAGCTGGGCCTTCGTAGATGCACACCCATCAAAGACACCAGAGAATCAACTGTCTCCAACTCCTGCTGGTAAAAGGTCTGAATTTTGTTTTCTAATAGAAAGCCTTGCACTTTCTCATGCAGCATATGGACTGAGAAATTCTGACCCTCCAGGCCACTACAAGGATACACAGAACATGTCAAAAGGTAAGAAATGTGTTTTAGAACAATTACATAAAGTCAGCCCACTGGATTGGTTTCAAAGGTCAAAGGATGTTTTACTGTCCTCAAAGAATTTGAATTTAAATCCTTAATTAAATCAGATCATTTTTAGAAGTATAAACTTTCAACTGTTCTTCTGCAGTCATTTGCTGTTGCAGTTTTGTGAATTTAAGACCTGCAGTCTCTGAAACAACATTAATGCACCAGGCCTCCCAGTAAGCATCCAGCTACCCTGAAACTGAGTACAGGAGTAGGTGTTTGACTCAGCTTATTGAGGGTATGTATTTGTGATCTGACACTGACACGGGCAGGAGAGCATTTCAGTGGAATAACTCCTCAGTCTTACACATAAAACAGCATCAGTCAATGATACTTCTCCATCCTCTCTGCTGACCTCAGCCCCAAATCTTGCTCTAAATCCCATCTTTTTCATGAGATGAAAGAGGTGTGTACACAGTATTTTACTTCCTTCCTAATATTCACTTTAGTTCAGTATTATATTTCTTTCCTCATATTATGTACAGGTATCTCATCTGTAGGGATCACCAATTATTTGGGAGAAAAGCAGACTGCTACTGTATATAAACGCAGTCTAAATCACAGTCAGGCCCTGTTCTATTTTTTTTTCCAGTGTTATTACAACAAGTAAACAATCATAATATCCTGTACTTTGCCCCAGGAGCAGTTCTGCATACTGCATTTACCTCTGTATTTCCTCAGGGCCCTTGAAAGGTTTATCATAAACTTCTCTATAGAGACAGGGGAGCTCCAGCATTCTCGAAATCTGGACATCACACACAGGATCATCCACTTTATCTGGAAAGGCAATGAGAACATGTAGACCTGGCCAGGACTCCCATACAATTTTTTAAGCAAGCAAACCTGAGGCAGCACAACAGAGCTTCACTGCCAGTATTAAATTGGCAAAATTTGTTCACTGTGGTTTTTATAAAAACAAACCACAAAGGCCAATCCTTCTTTTACAGTTTACAAGGAGGTAAAATGGCCTGTTGTGGTGCATTACAGATTATGCTTTTGTCTGACAACTTATTTAACCAGAATTTATGAACTCTATTTTACCTTTCAGTGGCCTTTATCCATTAAATGAAGTTAACACATAGTAAGGAGTTTTATTTGGGCCAAAGTGAAACCAATTTAGAGGCTATTTGAATTGCATGGCTCTCTTTGGTATTATTACCAACCCATGAATGGGTTGTATATATTCATAAATCTTCTGTCTGGATAGGGAGGCTGAACTCCCTTGCAAATTTAAGCTAGAACTCAAAAATCTAGAGTTTTTATCTGGCTTACACAGGGTTTTTAAAAGACAGGATTTTCTTCACTAAAACAATAATTTCAGAATTATCTCAGTAAGACCTCAATGGAGAAAACCAGCTCTTACACAACAGCACAGACAGGGAACTGAGAGGAAGTTATGCAACTGGAAGCTCCCAGAGCTGTGGGCTGCAGAGCCCTGCTGCTCCAAGAGCTGTCAGACACACAGGCAGCACCTGCATGCAGATCTGTGCCTTAGGAACAGTTCTCCTTCAGTCTGCAAAGCCAGGGAGCTGAGAAGGAGCCAGGCTTCAGTGGGACACTGCCCATATGCTGCTGCCTGCTCATGGAATGGATTGTACAGGCTGTGACAAACAGCAGCCACTTCTCCAAAGCCCTCAGTGCCCTTGGTGAAGTGGGACACAGAAGGTCACCAGCTCCCTTTCCACAAGCTTTGGCTGCTCTATTTCAACACAGCAAATCACTCTTGGAGATGCCCAACCACAGTGTCTGTGTGATATTCTTCTATGCATGCTAATCAGCTTTTACAGTTTTTCCAGGAGTGCCTCATTTACAGGCAGTCTAATCTCACACATTACATAGTGTCTCTTCTAACCTTATGCTGCTACAATTGAAATAAAGATATACAGATGAAAATCTTTAGAAAAATGAGATGCCAGAAAATAATGTGGAAAATATTCAATTAATTACATACAGCTCAGACATTTTCACAGATTTAGACATCTTAGTTACATACATCACAGATTCATAACACTCACAAAAACATGAAGCCTGAATTTGTCTTTGTTGCCTATAGGTTCGGATGTGACCTCTGACTCTGACAACATCTCCAATCTCCAGCTTGGTTTTCTGGCTTACTGTTTCTTGGAGTTTCTTCAGCTGTTCAAACACACTGAGACTGCTGGTTGTGCTTGGATGACCTGCAAGAAGTGAGGGAAAGGGAGTCAGGCACTAAAGCCAATGCATGAATTGTCCTTTTGCATTCATCCACCTAAGCACCACAGGAGTCATATCACTAAAAAAGGGTAGGGTCCCAGGCACCATATGTCCTGGGCAGGAAAACTTCTGGGTGACAAAATTAGTTTACTGTATTATACTCCTTTGAATTGTTCATCTGGGGAAATATAAAAAGGAGAAGACACTGATTTACCAATGAAAATGTCATAGATAGGTTGCAAAATTGAAATATAAATTTGAAACTGATTTGGTCATTTTTTGATTTTGTCATGCTAAGATGGATGAGAGAGAAAAGTTAGCTGAACTTTTTATATAAAAGAAGAATGAGTCATCTGAGGTGGGGCCAAAGCATTCATGTGATGCAATTTGATGTCCACACTGGGGTGAATGCAACTGAGGTGAATGCAACTTGACAGAACTTCACATTTACATAACACAGCTTTGTAGGACAGTAAATCCTTCATAACTTAAAACCTGATTATTGCTCCAAGTATCCCTGTTCACAATTACAAAAGGCTGGAAGAAAGTTTCTTGTGCCCTCTAAGAGCTTTCTTTAGCAGGTACAAATAAATGAATTGCCATTCTTAGTATAGTGTCCATCCAAGCACTACTGATGTATATGTAAAATAAGAATACAAGGCTGAAAAGCATTCTTGGCCCTCATTTTATTTCAAGCAGTATTTCATGCAATTCTTTTCAATGCATCTAAGTTCCTCATTTAAGTTCCTCAAAACTGATTTGATTGCGTGTCTCCCTTTTTCTTCTTTTTTTTTTTTTTTTTTTTTTGAGAGCTATGAGCTATGCCAGATCATCACCTCACCTCTCTAAAGTGAGAGCTGTCTTGTACATTCCAGTTGGGACCATTTGTACCACCTGTCATATCATTGTTAAATATAAGTATGAATTATCTGTCTGTATAAATGGGCTTGTTCCACAGACATCAGAGTTTTAAACTTTTACATCAAGCTTTCCTTTCTCCGTGCTATTAATAGGTATTCCTAACACTGCAGATGACACCAGTAAGATTTATTTCAGTAGGATTTGATCAGCTCCATATTAGGGTTGTCAATCCACTACATGGGCTTCCAAGAAGAGCCAAAGTAGAAAGAATTCTGTACTTTGATCTACAAGAAACAGTGGGAGAAAAAGCAAAGAGATAGCCAGACTGGTGCACTGTTCTGTTACTGAGTGCAATAATACATTAATTTCAAATGCACAATTACTGCACATTTAGGACTTGCCCAAATTGTAAAAGACTGCTGGCATCTTCCCACTCTGTTTGAAGCTACTTTCAAGTTCACTGCTGACAGTGTCTGTATGAGCAAGAGTATATGAATACAAACAAAGCAAGGATAAATCCTGAAACCATAATCACAAGGGCAGGTCAATGGACTGACTTTGGAAACAGAAGTTGTGGCACATTTCCAGCCTAGTTTCTTACTAGATGAAGTCACAGAAAGAACCTCAACAGGCAAATTCTCTGAACAATGTCACAGCATAGAACTGAAATATCGTATTACTCAAATAAGGAAAAGGCAGGGACAGGACATAATGTAATGGTTTTATTGGCATCACCCCTGAACAAAACACAAAAACTAATAGAAAATTCCCAAAATGGCCAGGCAGTATGATGTGGTGGTTTAAAATTAAAAAAAAAGAACAGTTGAATTTGCTCTTCTGCAAGTTTGATCACTTGCTAAATTATTTAAGACAGACATAAGTAAAAACAAACAGTCAAAAGAGGACTTATTTACTTGATAAATTACCTGATAAAGGTGGTTCTGCTAGCATGGGATTTTTCCAGCAGACACAATTTATAACTCCAGTACTATCATCCACTGCAAAAAAAAAAATTGCAAACATTACAGACTAGGAAAACAGGCAGTCATGTCCCAAGAAGTGAAGATACATAAATATGCAGGGAGATAACAGCCAAGGACATCTCATTCCAACTGGTTTGGAAGGTAGTGGGTGTCCAAACTCTACTTGCATATCTGAAATAATTTCCACAGTTGTTTCAGAGATGGAAGTAGCTCAGCACCAGATGTGCTTATGTGCATAGTAACAGGTATAGTCTCAAAGAAAGATCATACACTAATTTAAATTATGAGGCTTCAGTATATATATTGGATACTAAGCGTTTCAATCTTGCTGCAAAGGTCAGGAGAAGAATCCGTTTGGAAGGCTGAAGTCAGACAAATTAAAACAGGAAACCAGGCACAAACTACAGAAGCATTACTGTTACAGTGATGAAACTGCACTTCAACATTTGGGGATACAACCATGTGAATAAACCAGGAGTGCAGCTACTTGCAGCTCCATTGGTTTCCATGCCAATATTATGCTCAAAGTCTGCTGGTCTTTCCAATATAAGATGATGTCCAGGGAGCAGAAAGGCAGCTCCTCTAAGCAGGAAAGACAGAAGACATGCACGCTTGTGGTTCTGCTCTAAACCAGAAATTCCCAATTTAGAGTGTAGGTGCTGGTGGCATGCATGCCACTTCCTCTGCTGAAAAGGCTCAACACCTTGTCCTGAGCACGGAGCTGTTCTTCCTGTTCTGCCAGTGTCCCATGAAAATAAGTTTTACGATTTCTGCTCCAGGCACTGACTGCATCGTCGATGACAGCAGGAAAAGACAAAACTCAAAGGAAGCTACAGTCTGTCTGAAGAAGCAATTTTCTATCAATCAAGGGATGTAATAGATGGCCTGTGCAACAAACACTCTAAATAGAAAGACTCTAAATGTCTGTCAAGGATCATCCAGCCAATGCACTTTTTTTCTCTCGAATGTAACATCTCCAAGATGGAGATTCCAGCCCACAAATGGAAACCTGCAATTTTCTTCTGCTCCTTAAAGCAGGTCCATGACTAAAGAAGTATCAGCAATGTTACCACGAAGGTGCTGATTGATACCTGCAGCCATTTCCTCTGGGAACCATAGCATCAAAGCAAAATGCTTTTGCATTGTCTCACATGTTTTAAAACAATCTCCCTGTTTGGGGGGTCTAATTTCAAATTATTATTTTGCCTTCCTGTTTCCAAGCAGTTTAGCTGCACATTCCTATTAGCAAACTTACAGCACTTATAAGATGCAGGCAATTCCAAATTCTATCACAAAAGTATGCTCCTCTCTGCTATCTCTGTTTTGAGCTGCTGTGTCTGCAACTATTTCAGCAGCTTTAATTTTGTACCAGAGCACAGATAATGATCTGCTGGTAGGATTTCCTCTCCTTGGTACAGACAGACAGCAACTATTTTTATAGGAGGCAGAACCCTCATAAGCCATGCCCAAGCCCTCCGTGCAAGCCAGCAATGGCAAGAAGCAGAGCAGATAATATTTCACTCTTGCATTCCCACAGTTTCTAGATGTTCCAGCTTGCACCAACTAAGACAGACAGGCTTCCTAAGAAGGGCTTGGAGACAAACCAAGTAAGACTGAAGGATTAGGAGACCAGACTCCTTCTTCTCGGTGTAACAGCTGAAAACAGAGTTCTGGAGAGACTGACCTGTACTTGACCACAGAAGGAATCTGGTAGCAGAGTAAGGTTCTGAAACAAAGTTTTGCAATTTCATAGATGAAAGCTTTGAGCAAAAAGACAAGTTAACTCCTGAAGTACAGACAAATGAGAACTCTTGCAATTGTATTCTAATTAGACAAGAGAATGTTAATCTATTTTAAATGTACAAGGGGTCTACACACTTTTGAAAACTTCCTGTGCTCCCTGTGCCGCCCTTCCTCATCTCTATGGGTTTACACTTTTGTTTATTTGGGTTTTTTTGTGGTTTTACTTTTTGTTTGTTGGGGTTTTTTTCCTGCTTTTTGTTTGTTCGGCTTTGGTTTTTTTGAGTCTTGCTTAATTATTTGAGGGATAGCTCAAAGCTACCAGCTAAATGAGACAATTGTCTAAATTATTATTTCTTTATGACAAAAAGGGTATGGCTCTTGTCAGGCCTGCAAGAACCTACTGGTGTATTAGATGCTGGTGAATTATTATTTGATTTTAAGCCAACTGCCTTTCAGCTTTTCAAGTCAGATTTGGAGTACAAACAAAACCTCACGTGATGTTTGCTTTTGTTAAAAAGGAAAGGGGACAAAAGAGGTCAGAAAGATGCATTAGGTAAAATGCTCATGCTTGATCAAAGCTATGTTTTGATTAGATATCTTTCTCCTAACTTATCATAATAATAGCAAGAAACAATCAAATCAAGTGTCAAAATTAGATATTACACAGCACGCAATTTTTTGTAAGCCAGAAAAGAGTAAATTAACTCTTTTTTACAATTGTAATTTTGTCATCAGTTCTGGCTGTAGAGTTTTCAGCAGAGGACTTAAGATTCTTTAAAGTGAGTGATGTGTATTCTGAAACAGACAAATAGGAAATGGGGGAGGATCACGGCAGGGACACGAAGACATTTCAGTTCCCTATCAGAGGGAAAGTACAAAGGGGGAATTTCTTTGTAAGTCACTTTTAAGCAGATGGAAAGTGAGCAAGTCCTGATCAGTGTGTGGCACTCCAACTGATGCAACCCCCGTGACTCACCAGAGTCTGCTGAACTGAGAGATGCAAGAAGTTACAAGCAGGAAACTGTCTAAGAAGTTACAGTTTTGTGCTGGCAGAGTCGGCCTGCCTGAAAGGGAGGGCAGGCTGGGGAGGGGCACCCTGGCAGGTAGCCTGAAAACTCAAACCAGGAACTGCTGGAACAAAGAGTGGAGTTGGATGTGAAAGGACAGCAGGAAGCCAGGCTTACTGTGAGCTGCACTTGAAGGTCGGCTGATCTAAGGCCTTAATTCCACTACTCTGCAGTTTCTTTTTATTTCTATTCATCTAGTTTCTGCTCCAGTCAAACATTTTCCACAGGTTTAGTTGTTAAACTGCTGCTGAGAGCAGCATGGAAAATTCTTACCCATAGAACTGGTTTTGTCTTGGTCATTTTGATTCTGTCTTCCTCTGTTTTCATGAAGTGATAAATGCATTTGCAGTCAATGCCACCCTGCAGCAGTTTGATGCTGGGGAACCTGGGACCTGGTTAATTCATCAGTTGTATCTTCACAGTACTCCCAAGGGTCAGGGAATCGCAATTTTACAAGCAAGGGAACTGGGAAGGAGAGGCACTCTGTGACTCACCTCCACCAGGTGAAAACCCGTGGCAGAGGAAGACACTGGCCACAAGGGCTTCAATAGGATCTGTGCATTTAGCTCCCCCTTCCTGCTGTGAGGTGACCTCCCCCCACCTTTTGAAACTTGCCACATCACCACTGCTCCACTCTGCTTTTGCTCCAGATGTAAAAGACAGCTGAACAAAATGACAATCACATGTTTCCATGTTAATAAAACTGAATACTGGGAAAAGCAATATGGAGGAGACAACTCCCAGCTGGTGTTGGCAAGGACTGGTGCTATGATGCCCGAGTTCATTTGTTAAAACTCTTGTGCATCTAAACATAAACAAGCTCCTGACTGCTATTAGAAGTTGGCTCCAAGATATGACAAGACACACAAAAAGTCAGAAGGGATTTCTAAGGTTCAAATATGGACAAAGTGATTTCCCATTTGTGGGCACTGTTAAATATGTTTGCATCTCACCAGAGGTACTGCAAATAGGGGAGGAAGGCGGCAGAGTCCAGTGACAAAGCAACACCCAAAATTAAGATTTGCTACATGAATCAATTACTCTTTGTTAACTATTTAATTCTCTATTTTTCAAGTGGAGACAAACAGTAGCTTCCCTACATTTGCCAAGTAATCTCAGCTGTAGATATACATTGTATTAGGATAAGAGCACATTTGTTTCAAGGATACACAATGACCACACAGGGAAACCTTTCAGTTCTAACAGTAACTAAGATAAAAGGCTGATAAGTGCAAGAAGAAAGAAAGAAAGACATTTTCCTTACCTCCACAATTATAAAAGGCATCTCGCTCCTTCTTTTGAACCACTATCCCAACAACATCCACCTGTCTTATTGGATGTCCATTATAAAAGAATATACCTAGACACAAAACATGCTTGATTAGTGTGAACTATTTCTTTCAACACCCTACCCTATGTAGTCACATTTGTCAATTAAAAAACATACTTTCTTACATATTTAATATATCTTAAATTATACAGTGCCTACACAGGAAAAATCTCCTGCATCACTGAAGACTAGGGCCACTAAAAGGAGAAAGTATCAACTGTACTTAGGATACCAAAAGCTTGCTTTTGTAGTGTCAGAATCTTATTAACCTCTTGTTTTCCTGCACATTTGGATCTGAAAAACAGTTTGTCTGCTGCAAGCATTAGGGGGTTTTTGTTTGTTTGTTTTGTTGTTTCATTTGGGTTTTTGTTTTGCCTTGTTGTGTGGTTTGGGGTTTTTTTATATCTTCATAAGGCTTCAGAATAAATAATAGAACACAAAGGAAGCAGTTTGAGCTTCTCACAATGCAGCTGTTCCTGATTAAGGCAGAGCCTCCGAAAGGAAAACTAACATAATTCTGTCTTTCATTTCTAGAAGAACAGGAGCCGTGGGGGCAGGGGAGAGCAACAGCCCTCTCAGACTGCAGAGTAGACTACAGCAGTCATTGTGGACTGCATCCTGAACTTCAGTTTCTGAAAACACATGTTCTAAAAACATCCCTTTAAAGCTATTTTTGTGCATCTATAAAGATAACTTAAATAACACTTAGAAACATGTCCAGGAAACAGTGAGAAATCACAGCCCAGTGGACTCTGACAGCGCTGAGGTTGCCTTGCTCTGTAATTCCTTTCAAGAGAGTGATGAATGTTGTTAACAAACACTAATGTAAACATCATACACTGAGGCTTCACAGTCCAACAGCAGGAGGAAAATAGGGCAATAAGCTCCAAATATACCCTGGGCTGGCTAGTATTCAGTGAATGTGTTTTCTTCAGTTTTCAAATACTGTGCTTTACTGAAATAAGCCATCTGGGATGTTCAATAACTGTCTTCTGAAAAGTAGATAACTCAAGGGACTCAGAAGGGAACATTTGGCTCCATACACCGTGGCAAGTGTTATTCTTACAAAGGGAAACACAGCAGCAAGGGAGTCAGAAAAATGTTCTGTATTAAAAAAAACCTAAACCCAAAATCCAAAAATAACTTGTCCTACATAGCTAGCAGCCTTAAATGAGCCTGGAATTAACTTTCTTCACGCAAGACAGAAAGAAAACACAAACGTTTCAGAAGAAATCAGAGGTGATCAGCTGAGCAGCTCATAAGCAGAAATTCTTCTCATGAAATTCCACTGCAATGTTTTGAGGTTGCATCTATGGCTATCATCTCAGATCTGGCTATACTAATTGTGCAGTCACTGGTCAGGTCTGACACAGAGAATGTTTGGCAGGTCTGTCCACTTGTCTCTCACTTCATTTACCAGGGCACAAATAAACACTGCTGCAGAAACCCCCAGTGGAGATGCTCCCAGTGTAAGTAGTCATTCACTGAATCTTACAACATCTCTGTAAAAGGTCTGGGCTAGTTTCTGGTCTAGAGTAAGACTGTGGAGCAGAGACTCCAAGCTCCTGATTATGCAAACAAGCAATGTGTTATTATGTTTGTTTCCCAGTTAGTAAGCTGAGTTTTGGCAGATGACAGAGACCAAATAAAACTGGTTCTCTCCCTCCCCATAAATTCACATAGAACTCCACCCTTACTCTCAGAGAAACAACCTGAATTCATTTGAAGAATGAAATTATATTTAACCTATTAAAAGTTGTTGGAGTTGATGACCTCAAAGTGTAAATTACTCCTCCTGCCAGTTTATTTGTTCAAATTAAGTTCATATTGGTAGCAATAAATATATACTAAATATTTGAAGCTGTGGACAAACACATTCAGTGAGGTTCCTAATACCCCAGTAATCAACACCTAGAGCAAAATGCCATTACCACAACAGCCACAGCAGTGCTACAGGGGGCTATAGATACAGAAATCTCTAGGGCAAGTGCTGGTCATGTCTGTACCAGCACTACTGTGCTGTTTGCCATTCCTTTAATTATTATTACCTCCTTTTATGCTATTTGTAGCTTCCCTTCCTTGTTGATAAACTGACACAAAGCAGTGGTGCATGATAACTCTGAGAAAAGCTCATTTCCATGATGTGATTATGTGTTACAACTGAGTTTGACACCCACTCTCATTGCAAGGCTGCTAAGACAACACAATTGCTGTTTTTATCTGGGAGATTTTCCAGCCTTCTTGTCACCATTTATAGCAGCAGTGTAATTGGCCAGGTTTACTGCTTCCTTCTGTGTTGTTTTAAGGGATTAGTCACTGTGGCATCAAATCCTAATGCTTAAAAGTGGAAAGAAAAAACTCATTAGGTCATTCAGTCCATTTCCTCAGGGCCAATACAAGACCATTTTGTACAGTAAATTCCTGGCAATATGTACAGTCAGAATATAAACAATCCCAGTGAAGGGCATCCCACCTTCTTCCTGGGAAGGCTGTGCCATGGTCTAACAGATGGCATTCTAGGGATGTTTTTCCTGAAATTCAGACTGTGTTTCTTTCCATTCTTCCTAGTTACAACTTTTTGTTTTGCACTCATTCATTCTTAATTACCATTACTTAATGACTGATTTATAGCCAACCATATACTTAGCTTCAGCTGGTCTTTAAAAGCCCATTAAAGGCAGGAAGCATTGACAACAAACACCTACGTTCTTCCTTCCCCAAAAGGTATTAATTTTAGTGTTTTTGTTGTGCTATCATTTGTTGCCAACAAATAAGATACACAGAAAAATGTCTGGTTTGATGTGTATACAGCACCAGGGGAATGAACAAAATTCAGGATGTTGGTTCTAAGAAATTTCATTTTACTTGAAGTTTGGTTTAGAAAATGATATAGGATTGCAGGCAAGCAGAGTGCAGAGTGCCAGATGCACAGGAACTGGAGAAAGCTCAAATGTACCAACTGTAAAGGCTGATATCTTGACATGACAGATACGACCTCCTTAGGATCATCTTATGAAAAAACCAAAGGTAATGACAAATCTGAAAAAGTTCCTGAAGTAGAAGCCAACTCAGTTAAGTAATATAACAGGAAGAGAAGTAAGAAGGGAAATTAAAGTATTTTGGAGGCAAAAAAAAAAAAAAGAGTAGGACTGTACTTTCTAGGACTGTTCCTGCTGTCATGAAATGTTTGTTGGTGTTTGTAAGGTTCATTATTCTGAATACATTTTCATATGTGTATGTACTAATGTTCAAGTCCAAACTACAATTCTGCTGGCATTGAATTGTGTTGTATTTTGTTTGAGAACAATTAAAGTATCTGTAACTGATGAAGAACAGTTTTTACCAGATGCATTTCCCACAGCAGTACTACTAGAAGACATTTATGAGACAGTTTAAAAAGGTTTCTATATAAAACTTACTGTAGGACAAACATCAACAACAGTAGCCTAATATTGCAATGGATTTATGATAAAAGTCTCTTGCCATATTATTTAACAGAGGATGGATAGATGGATAGACAGACTGGTATTTGTGGTTTGTGAAGTCCTTATGCACATAAAAATGGTTGCAAGAAGAGAAAAAACACCCACCAGCCCTTAATTTCTCCAAAACCAGCATTTTTATCCTTGCTGTTAAAGAAAACTGAAGAAGAATAACAAAACCTACAAGGCAAAGCCTATTCAAAGAGCCAAACAGGGGTACTTAGTCTCTGTGGACAGAAAAAAATAAAAATAAAAAACCACAAAAAAAACATCAAAAGCAAACCAAAGACATACACTGTGCTTAGGGCTTATTGCTTTTCCCCATTAGTTCTAAGTTCTCTGGGTTCCTCCCTGATAATCTTGCACCGTGTCAGGCTTCACTTGGGAGCAATGAACGCTTCCACAGCAGAAGACACACTGCAGTCTATTTAAAGCCTGTGTAGTGAAAACAGCAATTCAAGGTCAGAGCTGTGTTACTTCAGCCAAAGCTTACATTGGGTGCCACTGCAGACGAGCAGGACACAGACTGCAAAGCAGACACTTGTGGGGCAAGGTCCAGCACAGAGGCGAGAATTTACAATAAGGTTGTTCCAATGTATGAAGAATGTCATATATCTGTTATAACTAGAAATTAAGGAGACAAAACCTCAAAACCTGTATCTGTCTTATAATGTATTTATATCCTTAGGAAAAAGAAAAATCACACATCCAGCAATGTCATCAACTGTCAAAATTTTGCAAAAAATGTAGAGATGGTGAAGAGATAACAACACATATGGGCAGAAAGGACAAGCATTTTGTAGAATTAACTTTATCAGAATATAACAAGCACCACCACATAGAGGAAACACAACATTACCTTGATGTAAAAGATGGTCTGGAGAAAAAGGAAAACCATTTTAACAAATATATTTTCTTTTTCACATACGACTTGTTGTTCTCAGAACTGCTAAAAGATATTAACATCGTTTAGCTTAAGGTAATGGAAAACTCCTTTACTGATGTTTGTGAAGTATTCTTCAATCCCTTCATAAAAAGCACAACACAAATCAATTATAAGTTTTCTGGGTTCCTCCCTGATAATCTTGCACCTGTGTGCATGATAATCAGCACCTCTAAATACATACCTGGCACCTGTACAGATTCTCTCATTTCTGTAATATCTTTAATATAGAGTCTTGCAAATGCAGAAAATACAGGATCTATACCCCAGTGCAGAGAAGGCATCTCTTCTTCATACTTCTCAGACTCAGACTGCATCTGAAACCTGTGAACACAGAAGGAGCTGAAATTGTTTTCTACAAAGGTGAAGAGCTGTTGACATTCATTATTTTTCACATAAATGAAAAAAACAGCTCATGAGTATACACATACAATAACACAGCAGAGCTGAAGATGAGACACTGGAGTTTATCTAATAAAATGCTGTATTTATCTATCAATATTTCATGTGTTGCCACATGAAATATTCAAAGTATCAATACTCACAACTTGTTTGAAGTACTGAGAATCCAGCAACAGCATTTCCCCCAGTAACTTCAAATGAAATAGAATTTCAGAGACTTTTCCTCTCAAAATCCATAAACAGAGAACTAAATCAACATTTGTTAAAAGAGCAGGATTGTGGGATCCTAAGTCGTTGCTTTCTCTACAGATGGTTATTATTCCCCAATCATTCTCCTTCCCTCCCCTAACATATTATTCTCATTGTTTGTCCTGTGCTTTGTCGTGGAGCTGAGGGAGGATGACTTTATTTAAAACAAAAGCAGCCATCCCTTCTTTATTTTGGGCATGTAGTCTCCACTAACTTTGAAATTGTTACTTTTCCTTTTTACCCTTTCAGATTTCAGTTTAATGCCTGCCATCTTCTGCCATTACAGATCCAATTCTCTGCTTATCACAGTCTTGATGTCAAAAACCCCAGCACTTGATTAAGGAAGATCCCCATAAAGACTTGGAAGCTGAAAATAATTTCTATAATTTCTATCAGCTTCTCCTGTATGGACAGGTACGTGTTTCCTGTAAGGCTTTCCAGGTCACCTTCTTTTTACTAGTAAAAGTAAAAAAAAAAAAGTCAGTGTTATTTACTCCTCCTCAGACTGGTCATTTCTTTGGTGAGATGTTGAAAATATCTGATTTAGCCAGTTCCAGCAGTAACTTCACTACTGAGTAACAAACTGAAATAGTTTTGATTACACCTGGATTCATGTCTCGCTGGCCACTACAGACAGCTCTTCTCAGCCTTTCCTTTTTGCACCTGCAAGATCTACTCAAAAAGTCACACCATTCCTTTCTCACTCAAGTCTCCCCATGAAGCATCCTTTTTCTATTGCTGAATTGAGACACTGCTCAATAGAAATTTAGAAATTAAGCTGTTAAGTGTATGATTCTAACTCAAGCTGCTATTTCTCCATATGGCAGCTCTTTGGATACTTGCTACAGTCTATGTCAAATTTAGACCATGAAGTTTCTGAAGGGAACAAATGGTTTGAACCTGTATTTTACTTGGCATACTCATTTTCTTAACAAAATTAGTTTCCCCATCTCTTTTTGCTTGCAGTCTCTAGTACAAAGTTACATTCCTTTCTGCTTCGTGCCCCTCAATTTACTCTGCATGGTTACAAACCCTGTCACAGCTCAGCACCTGTTTTTCCTCCTAGACAGACAGCAGACTGAGATAACCAGCCAAAAAGAGACAATCAGGAATCAAGGCTGTCTAATCTGCTGTATTTTGGGTAAACAGACACTCCTTGGGGTAAAAAGCAGAAGTCACCCCTGCACATGTGTGCATGTGGGGGGAAATCAATGAAGCAGCTCCACTGAAGATTAAAAAATATCTGTATTTTAAAAGTGGCATTTTATAGCCACTTTTCAAGCCTGAAATGCCCAAATGTTAATAGATCAAGTCCAAGCACACTTTAAGCTTAAATGAAGTATCTTCCCAAATTTTTTTACTGCTTCCCTCTTCTGAAGGGAGAAGATTTCTGCAGCAAAAGCTCTTTCCATCTCAGAAACGACTAGGAGTTAAATTCTGGAGCTTCCTTCTCACTCTAGCCTTGTTACAGCTCCTCACTGGAGATATTTACACCCATCATATGTCTTTATATAGAGACCACTCTGTTTGGTTCAAGTCTGCTACAGACACACAACACTTTATCTTACAAATCTGGCAAAGATTCCTTGATAAAAACTAACTTGTGCCCCCAGCACTATGAAGGCATCACAGGATTCCTTGAAGTCCACAAGAAAAATCTGCTGAAGTCCTGAGTTACATACATTCCATCCACACCAGGCTGGGACAGTGAAACCAAAACCATACCCCAGCCACCCACTCAGCAATGTCTGACAGGCACACCAGGGCATTCTGCACAGCAGCCAAAGTCTTCCTTGGCCTGGCCTCTTCACAGTCCCAAGAGCCCTCCCAACCCCTGACACCACCCAAAACCAAGCCTATTTTCTTCCTTCCCTCCCAAGTGGTCAGCTTGGTAGCTACATTTGAACAGTGGCCTATTTGAAGCCAAAAGCTTGTGGTCAGTAAGAAAGAAAATATGTTTAGTGCCTCCTGGATGTACAGCTTGTCTCCAACACTGCTAGTATGTCCATTCTTCTCAGCAGCTGTCAGTCTGCTCCTAAACAAAGTAAGACGTAAACCATTTCCAAAGTATCTATTCAGTGAGTTTCCAAGCTTGTTTCAGGCAGATTGAGAGTATTAAAAAACATAATTCCTATAAGGCTGACATAACTCTTCCAATCATTTATCTTTTGATATATAATAGTATCTTCCCGTAACTTTTTCCTAAGTTGGCAGAGGAAGCCTCTCCATCCTGGGGTTAATTAATGAGTCATCCTGGCAAAAGTGGAACTTTCCATTATGCTACAAGTGTTTTCAGCTCTTAACTGGTACCATTGGTGATATGCTATCAGCAAGGAAGATAAGAGCTGCCCTGTACAATGAAGAGCTAAGGGGCAAATAGGGGCATTGTGGAGATGCACAACGTTATAATCAATGAAGACCCAGACAGCAAACAATAGACAATTCTGAACAGATACTATCTAATTAATGTTTAAGGATTAAACTGGCTTTTGCTGGGAGATGGTGATCAGGCTTAGCAATATAAACAACACAGAGTCCTAGCAAAAGGTCATTCCCTTCTGCATTTTGTTTTCAGTGCAGTGTAATGACTTCAGGGTTGCTGTAGTGCAAGGAATTCAATCATGTTACAGGAGAAAAAAGGCAACAGAAGAATCTAGTCCACAATTTAATTAGACAGAAGATATCAGTATTCTATTTTGAACTCCAGAAAAAGGCTGTGAAGGCATAATCAAAACCAAAACAAGAATTAAGCTCTTCTTGGGAAAATAACTCTGTTTGAAGGGCAGAAATCTAAAGTTTTCATAGTAGGTATCTAGATACAAATAAACAAGAAACCTCAATTTGAGATTATTCTAACATACTAAGACTGGGCTGTCTCTTTGACCCACTGCTTATCAATGTTAGCTTTCCTGATTCTACTGAGAAGTGAACCAAGTCTATAACCCCAGAGCTACCTTGTGAGCTCAGCAGGGTATTATCCTAGAAGGGAAAGCAAGGAAAATCAGCACCCTTCCCAACCATGCCACCCCTGCAAACCTATTTTCTTTCTTCTTTCCTAAACAGCCTCCCTGGTAGTTTTGTCTCAAGAGCTTCCTATTTAACACCCTATTGATTTATTCAGAATCAGCCCTGGCCAATTAATTTCTTGGCTCATATTCTTGTGCCCACCATGTACCTTTTCCAAAAAAGGTACACAGGCTTCTTCCAATCCCAGTGCAATTGAAACCTCAAAGAAGAGAATCTGTTTTAATGTTTCTTGTTATCTTTTCTCCAAATCTGACTAACAACCAAAGCTCTTGGAGAAAATTGCCTTAATTTGAGATTAATAATTTTGAGCCAAGAAAATGTGTCTTGCCAGTGGCTGTCTGCAACTGCTCTGCAAGTGCTGGCACACTGCTGCAAAAGCTCTTTCTCAAGTTAGCTGTGAAACAGAAACAGACAATTTATGCACTAATACAGGCAACTCAAGCATCCTACCAGGCTTTCACTCTTCTCCAAAGGCTGCCACTACCATGCTAGCACTGACAATTTACACTGGAAACAGCTCCTAAACTGTTGGAGCCAACCCAGTGCATTAAAACAACTTAAAGGCATCACTGGTTCACTTGAATAAATTAGGCCAGAAACTGTGGCTGTCAAAAACTGCTCCATAGGTCAGCCATTCCTGCCACAGACAAAGCAACTTGTGGAAAGCAGAGCAGAGTCTACAGCTGGGTTTTGTAACACCCTCTGTCATCTGAATTGAAATCATCTGTGTCTGAGTCAACACCCTATGTGACAAATGACTATTATTCAACTCTTCATGATCAGCAGAGGCAATTCCAGCATGGTACAGTAAAACCCACCATTTTTCAGGAAATGTTTTTAATTACCTACAACCACATACAGCATTTTAAATAAAAACCAAATAAACCCATTGTATTATTATACAAGTAAATCTTACTGAACTGGGAAGTAAAGCTTTTTGTTACAGTCACTATGGAACAAAGATTCTAGACATGAAACTCACCCATAGGTTTTTAAAAAATACATAATTAAAAGAAAGTGTCCAATACCAGTAACAAGATGAACACCATCATTGAGCCCAAAACACTTTACTGAAAGACAAAAAAAAAGGCTCCTGGAAACAGCTGTTGGAAAACTATCAAACAATAAGGTAAGGTCAGTTTGGATCCACCTCCTACCTGGTTATTCTATTAGAAATCAAGATGGGGCAAGCACTTCCAGTCTTTCACAGTAAACCACTTTCTGCCTCTGTCATGTTAAATCCTGTCAATTTTGATGTTGCATGCTGCATGTCTTGTAGTTCTTATATGTAAGTACAATTCCAATTCAAAGACATAGTTTCAAAACAAAATTAAGAAATCTACAACTCCTCTGAACTTCCAGAAGTTTAGCACTTCCTGACATGTTACTTGTACAAGGGTTTAACATTTGTCTAAGCTGTTCAGATAACAATTTACCAAAAGGAAGAATTTTTTTTCTTAAAGATACTCCTTGAAATTCTAAACATTGTATGTCTTTTACTTACATTAGTTTTTATTACAATACATTTCACTGGTAAGTGAAGAGCAAGACAAGAGGCCCATCACTGCAACCTTTAACCAGTGGGGATTCTAGCAATCCAGAAAGGCATAGCCCACAATGCCCATAAGGCAGGATATAGATAGGGA